CCCCAAAACCCCAAAACCCCAAAACCCCAAAACCCCGCAAATAATATCTTAGATGGAATTAGCAAAAATAATATTAAAAATGGAGAGAGGCGATCATTTCAGTAGTCAAAGAGTTACTACAAGGTATTAAAAAATCTATTCTTCATTCAGAATTTATGCCTATTATTTCACAACAATACATCCGATGTGTTAGTCTGAGAAAGCTGATTAAAGCAATTCATCATTAAATCTTCATCATCAATAAATATTTTAGTAAGTTTGGAAGGACCAGGAGAAATCCCAACTCAAAGTTCGTTGACTGAAGTAAAGAAAAACAGCGCTATTCTAGCACAAAAGAAAGTAAATAAATCCAAGTTGTTCTAGTTATTTTAACACTTGAATAGAATTTGTTGATAAAAGATCGAATGTTGGGAAACAAATAGATAACCGGTATGACCCAGTGCTTCCAGAGATGACTCCGAATAGAGGTGAAGCTCTCGAAAATACAGTAACCAAACTTCTTGGATACCCGTCAGGTGCTGGTAATATAAATCCAACTGACTCTGTAAACCAAACCTCAGGTAGCAAACGAAGTCAGCATATAAATGCTTCATCTCCTAGTTGGGATCAGGCTGATTCTGGAAGATCAGAAGCCAGCCAAGCAAATCCCTTAAGAGCATCAGATAGAATCAGTGAGCACAGCCACGAAGGAAGTGATAGCTCCATTAGTAGGAGACATCAAAACCATTTGTCACCAGAGCGAGGGCTCAACATGATGAGTGGCGAGAGTAAGAGTTTCCCTCCAAATCTAGAACCTGATAGAGATGATATCAGAGAGATTTACAACAAAGCCCGCAAGAGTAAACACAACGATATCAAAACCAGACAAGATGGAGCTCCAGTACTGAGACCTCATCCACTAGACATAGCCTTGTATTATCGGTATCTTGTAGAGAACTCGAACGAGTTGTTTAAAAATTCTAACTTCACTACTCTCAGACCCACTAAAAGAGTAAACCCAGAAGTTGTTCACTTTGAAAATTGTGAAGCCTACACAGATTTGTTAAGAAAACTCAAACCTTCGTCTGCTTTCAGACCTGTAAGCAATTCCTATTATCTCATAAACTGACTTAATTGTTTCATAGATGAAGAAGGCTAAGAAGATTAAGTACTATCGAGGCCAAGGTAAACTCAGTCTGTCTAAGCTAAACGAATAGAAAAGATTGACAGATTACGTAAAGGACTACCAACAATTGAGAAAGGAGAACCCAATATAACCATGATGATGCCCAATCTTTTTGAAAAAGAAGTCTTAGGCCGGAAAGAAAGGTAACTACTCGTCGTTAAATACAGACTAATATTGGGAGCAATCAACGATGCTTCTAAAATTCAATATGATACTAAAGGTAAGGGCTATTTCTCATCATTCATAACAATTTTAGAGGAATTCCAAGCGATAGCTGATAAACTTAAACACCTCTTTGATCACGAAGTACAGTCTAGTCCTAAATATAGGTGAAAGAAAAAGCTGAATCACAAGCTAGCATTTTAAATTCCATAAAAACCGAGATCAAAGATTTAAGACAAGAACTCAAAGAATTCCAAGCTCAAAAACTCGAAGAAAAAGAAGTATTATCAAAAATGAGCAATATTGCCATCTCTCAGTCAAAGCCAACTTCTGAAGACCCCCCAAAGCCAAAGGAAGAGACCAAAACCAATCCACCTAAATTAGAGCAGAAGCCAAAGCCTAAAGTGGTAGACCCTTTCTCCCAAGAGCCTACCAAAAATCAAGAAAAGGAAGTCAAAGAAGAAGCTAAAAATCAGACCAAGACTAAGGAAGATAAAGTCAAAAGTCTGCTCCCAATAGTAAAAGGTGTGTTATGTTATACTTTCCTTCTTGTGGCAGGTTAAGGTGGATGAAGCAAAAGCAGCAACTTGATTTTAGACTCTGAATTTGGACATTTAATATGGACTAGTTTGCATGATTGGCATCTCTGAAATCAAAGTGTTAATAAAAGTAGAGAGATGAATAGATATAACCTTAGTTTGGAGCACTAGAATTATCTACATGTTCAGATTTTTTATTGAGATCTATCCGTTGAAGGACAAATAGATTGCCCTGAAGTTTAAAATTTAATGTTTGAGACTCTAACTGATAATTTCTAGAAAAGGAAAATGAAGAAGGTCCTCCTTCAGTTAATAAGCTCGAGAATAATGATGATGACTCCATTAAAGAATCTTATAAAGAATCCGAAGATGAGAACCAAAGAGGTAAGCTTATATTAATGATCAGCAGACCAATATGGAGAACCAATTGTTAAACCTTCTGCTGAAGAAGAAAAGAAAGTTAAAACTACAAACATTTTTGCTAAACCAACAGAAGTGAAGAAAGAAATGCAAAGTTCTCCCAATTTTGCTGCTAAAGATGAGTCTAAGAGTTCTGGTAATAAAAAGCCGAACCCATTTCTGGCTAATTCAGATGCCAAAGTAATCAATAAATTCAGTAATTTCAAAGGAGATGCAACTCAGAAAGTGTTTCCAAGCAAGTCAAACACAAACGATAGAGTGTTTCCATTCTCCAACAAAAATAGAGAGCAGTCGTCTTCTGTAATGGGATCTAACTCCAATCCTTTTACAGGTGGGAGATCTGGCCCAAATCCTTTTGATAGAGGAGGCCAAAACAAGCCCAGTGTATTCCCGTCAAGACAACAAGACGACTCTATGGAAGAGGACGACTCAGGTAGCTTGATTTTATAACTCTTTAGGAAATAGATATGACAGAAATAGAAGCAGCCACTCAAACTTCGGAAGAGCAAACCCTTTTGGTAGAGGAACCTCAATGAACTCTTCAAGAGATAGAAGCAGTTCTTCCTTTGAAGCTCCTTCAAGAAGTGGCATAGGATTTAATGCCTCTAGAACCAGGAATGAAAGCAGCTGGAACAGGAATGCATTCGATAGGTCAAGCAGTAGAGATTCTGGCTTTCGGCTAGGTAGGAATGATTCATCAGAAAGGAATGGCACATCAAACAGAGTTGCTGCAGGTGGATTATTTGCTGAAGTTAAAAGAAATCCCAGATAAATATATACAATCTATAAGTTTTCTTCATATCTCAACCTCTCATAAAAATCGAGGGGTTTTGGGGTTTTGGGGTTTTGGGGTTTTGGGGTTTTGGGG